GGGGTTTAGGGGTTTAGGGTTGCTGAACACTGACATCCAAAGCCGGCACCCTGAGCCCTTACAACCTAAACGGCGCACCCCCAGACAGTGAACCTGAGACCCGGAACCCTACCACCCCTATAAGGGGTTTAATCATGGGGTCGGAACCCTATAACCCCTAGAGGGGGCTTAATATATATATATATGGGAGTTGCAATAATTATTGCAACTCCCCTTGTCAACATGCTTGAAACCTTTCCAACATCCTTTCAAGGTTGGAAACCTTTATCAGCGGAATCTAAATCTCGCAGCATGTAACCCTTAGGTGCGACTCTTTGCGCGACGGCTGGTTTGTGTTCGACAGACGCCGGGTCGCAAGATAACGGACACGACCCCTGGGCTTCAGACAACCTGTTTCAGTGGGGTTTAGGGTGTAGGGTTTGGGGTTTAGGGGTTTAGGGGTTTAGGGGTTGTGGTTTAGGGTTTGGGGTTTAGGGTTTAGGGTTTGGGGTTTGGGGTTTAGGGTTCAGGGATGCAAGTTGCAGGCTTGGGGCTTTGAGGTTCGGGTTCAGGGGGTGTCTAGGAGTCTAGCTCCCAGGCGAAACCGTGATGCCTGTTCGTGATTCGCACCATCGCATGCAGCGTATACAGCATACAACTCCATTTCAGACACCTCGAAATGCTCATCCTCCACAGCCTAAGCCTAAGCCCGTAGACCCTGAGCTCTAAGCCCTAAAGTTGCGAAGCTTTGCAGAGCTGAGCCCGAAATTCTGCTTTCAAGCAAATCCTCAAACCATAACGCTGAACCCAGAAACCCCAAGCCTAGCCCATAATCATCTATGAAGCGACCGCGAAAAGCCTAAAAGTCGTCTGGTACAGCCGATGTGAAATCCCATAAGAAGAGGCCTTCCCAGCCCTGTTTGAACTCGTCGTCTGGTGATGCTGCGAACACTCTAAAGCCCTGCATGAGAGAAAGTCCTCTTCACGACCTTTGAAAGCCAGACCCTAAGCCTAAACCCTACGCCCTAAACCCTACGCCCCTAAACCCTAAGCCCGAAGCCCTAAACCCGACACCCAAAGACTGCAAAGCCCTGGGCCCTAAGGCATTTAATGCCTCAAAGCCAGAAGCCCGAAAGCCCCTGCACCAAGGGCCCTGCATCCTGAAAACCCCTTAAACGGACACAAAAAACCCCGAAAGAAACCTCAAACTCGAGCCACTTCAAGCAAAAAACCTAGGGGGAAACTCTCTAAGCCCCGAGACCTGGAGTTTCAGGCCTCCTGGTGCTGATGATGCTTGGGGAGACCCTGCTCCTCTCGGTTCTGCTGCTGCTTCTGGGGCCAGATGGGCCGGCTTCCACGGCCGTGGGAAATGCCTGGAGCTGAGGGTTTTGGGGAGGGTTTCGGGGGGTTTGGGGTGTGGAAATTTCGGGTTTCGGGGAAGGTTCAGGGTGTTTTAGGCTGTATACAGTTGGGTTTAGAGTGTATAGAGGGTTCAGGGGGTTTTAGGGTGTACATAGAGTTTAGGGGGCTTGGGGTGTATGTAGGGTTTTAGGATTTAGGGGCTTAGGGGGTTTAGTTTGTAGGGCTTATGAGGGGTGTTTTGGAACTACTTCGTCATCTTTGGGCATCAGGGGCCAGCTGGCTTCTTTCTGGGCCTTCAGGGGGTGAGGAGGGGCCTTCCCTTTGTGCCCGATGGGTTCGTCGTCGAGATGTGAACAAGGAGACTCCGTCAGGGTTTAGGGGTTTAGGGGCTTGAGGGGTTTTAGGGGTTTAGGGTTCAGGGGTTTAGGGTTCAGGGGTTTCGGGGTTTAGGGCGTTTAGGGGTTCAGCGATGAGGAGAAGGCGCCGAAGCTCAAGAACAGATTCAAAGTGCTGTGGCAGCGTGATGGCGAGTGGGAGGGAGCCGCTGTGGGCGTCGTCGTATGACGATGAAGTGCCAAGGAAGAGGAAGATTCGTCGGTGTCGAACCAAAAATCCGGATCAACCAGAGAAGATCAATCCCGGATTCCCAGCGTGCAAAGACTGTACACGGTCTGTTGGAGGGAAGACGATGCATCCGGAACTTTGGAAAGGAGCTACAAGGTGGAGACGGGCCCGAATGCGACGATCTCGAGTTCCTACCAGAGATACCGGAAGAGGTGCTCCTGCGAGAGGCGGCGACGCATTCAACTTTATTGCGATCCGGAATGCAATCGAGAGATGGTTGGGACGCCCGCGTGACCCGGAAAACATCGCAGTGATCATCAACGCTGATGACATTCTCTTCCCGCTTGCGACGAGTTGAACTGCATTTGGGAGGAAGAGGTGGCCGCGGCAGTTCTCCCAGGGTTACTTTGGCCAGACAGGCGGTGGGACGACCTCCCCGATGCACAAAGATTCAATGTGGACCTGGCCGCCGCTTCGTCGCGTTGCCCCATGGTCCGTGCCTTCGTGACCGCTCCAGGCAAGGTGTTGCCGGGCCGCCCAGGCACGTGTGCGTACGGTCCGGGCATGTGAATGTGTGTGTGTGTATGACAAGAGTCACTGCAACTGTGCACATAATCAGGTCTGATGCTGTGGTGGTCAGGAACTCCGGGGCATCTTCCACATCTCCACAAGCCACAGTGACGAAAAGACGCACATGTGGACGTCCAGGACCCTAGCACACTGCTTGAACTTCCTCACTCTAGAAATCCGCCAAAAGCGGATGGAGCAGGGCCTGGCCGCGAGCCACAAAGCTCTCGTCCTGTGTGATGCCGCAAGGGTGCCCACCGGGCCTAGATTGGCCTAGATGTGACCTTCACTACCTTGCAGAAACAGCCCGCTGCGATGTTTCTCCATCGTTACAAGAAGATCGCCAAAGCCTCGGTTAGACAAGAAGTCAGTGCAACGATCAAGGAGGAATTCCTCGAGTCGGTGGCCTTAGAAGACTTCCAGTGGGAAGTATGCCGTTTGAGAAGCAGCTTTTACTGAAGACTTCCAGATACAACCGGTCAAATACCGCGGACATGTCATTATGGAACCCAAGGTCGGACCACCACGTACAGACACTGTGCTCGTTAAGAAGCTTCCAAGACCTGACAATATCTTGAACTACCAGACTTCTTTCCCAGAGAGTCGCTATCCGTTCAAGCTTACGTCGCTGTCTTCCACAGAGCCGTGAGTTTGCAAGGAGTAGCCAGCCAGTCATTACTCCGCGTTCGCTTCCTTACGAACTCAGAGTTGTCGTCCCGGCTCAGCAAGTTGAGCGCAGCTCGATACTTCTTGTCATTCTTGTTCCAGAGGGAAAGGAGCCTGAGGATGTCGTTGAGATAGACGTTGCCGAAGTCCCCATCCCGAACAGACCGATTTCTCGTTGACATTCCTACTAATGACCTACGAACATCATTCTTTCGGGTTCCCATTGCAAGTATATAAGCGTATACCCCAAAATCGTGTTCCAATTAATCCGGCCCCTATACTAAATGCTTTGTCTGACCCCTATAATTTTCTCTATAGAACGCCAATAGAACGCTTAAAGGACGATTTTCAAGGAACTCTGTTCGAATGAGTAAGGCCTTAGACCATAGCACCCTCATCATAACCTTCTGACATATAGAACCCTTGTAGACCCCCGTCTTGTTTGCAGAACCCTTTCACGGAGCCGTAATCTAATTATTAAGGCTCCTATGTAACCTTAATGCCCAAAACCCTAAACCCTACACCCAGCAACATGAAAACAACAAAACCGTGCAATATTTCCAAAACCGTAAACCCTAAACTCCTAAACCCTACCCTACCCCTAAGCCCTAAAGACCGAAAACCCTAAACCCTAAGCTGCTGCAGTCCCCCCAAAATACGAGGCATCGATCCTCCGTCTCTTTCGGCTTTTGCGGCTCTCGCGGATGGCACGGATGCTCCGGTCGATGCCAGAGTCCCTCGCTGTCTTGTAGGGTTTGCAAGGTTTTTCCCTAGGGTTCCTCTGAAGGAACCCCTATAGTATGCCTTAAAGGAACCCTTATGGGATCCTTTTAAGGTGCCTGAAGCTCAATAAAGTACAGGGTTAGGGCATGGGCGTTTAGGGTTTGGGGGGTCTGTTTTGAGGTTCAGGGTTTTGGGGGTTTTGGGTTTAGGGCATTAGTTGCGCGGGCCCCGGGATGCAAGTCGTTTATTGCAATTTACATATACCCATATGCCCGGTACTTATAGTCCTTTAATTGCTGTACCCTAAGCCCTAAACCCCTGAACCATGAAGTCCCAGATGATTGCCAGCAGAATACCCGGCAAGGTTGATGATCCTGATCAAGGGCATGGCTGCTGCCGCCACCTCTGCTGCTGGGTCTGCATGGTCTGAGGCTTTGGCGTTCGAAGGTTCAGGGTTCAGGTGGGCTTTTGTGGGTTTTTGTGGGTTGAGGGTCATGTGGGTTGTGGCCCTAAGCCCTATGCCCTAAAACCCTACACCCCTAAAGCCTTTAGGGTCTTCAGGGTTTCCTGGCACCCAAGTCCCTGAAGACCTTCAAAGGGGCCGTAACGCCCTTCTGTGATGTTCAGGCCGCTTCGCGCTGTCACGTCACTAGGAGTGGGTAAGTACCAGCTTAACGGATCCCGTGCTCTGAAGGGTGGAGCGAGGAGGGGAGGTTGTTGTTTTTTTTTGGGGGGGAGGGGGGAGGGAGGGTAGAATGGGTTGGTTTAGGGTTTAAGGTTTAGGGTTTAGGGTTTCTGAATGAGGTGGGGATTTCGTCATACCAGACCTTCGGCCCCTGGACCCTCTTGAACCCTTAAACCCTGCTCACACGTGTAGCTGGCAGCTCCTCTAGGTGTTCTTCGTGATGTGCCTTCAGCTTATCCTGCTCTATGTGTTTGCGATCGCCGGGGCCTCAGCAGATTGCGTTCCCCCCGCAGCCTGATTTCTACACCCTAGGACCGGCGCCGCAGACCCTAAACCTTATATCTTTATGCTGCATAGCATGCAACCTTGTCCCCCCCAAAACCTCCCAGAAACCCAAGACAGCTCTGCAGCTTAAGACCTGAAGTGGGTCTATGCTTGGCCGAAGTGGAAGAGGTTCCTGAACGAGCAGCTTGGGTCTAGGGGTTGAAGGTTTAGGGCTTAGGCTGAATGGAGGGCAGCAGGCTCAAATCAGCCCTAAATTACAAAAAGGTGCCGAGGCCTCGGCGTTCTGAACTTCGAGATTCTCCTTTTGGTTTTTGTGGGTGCGCGGGTGCCCTTATGATATGAAGAACCCTGAAATTCTTCGGTTTCGATGGGAATCACAGGACCGTTTTGCCGATAACTCGCGGTTCCATTTAGTTGCATAGTTGGGGGATCTGTATGAGGAGGGTCCCGCAGTTCAGGGCCTAAACTACATCCGAAAACTCCCATCCAAGCCCGCAGAGCCTAAGCCCAGCGTCTAGGACTGGGATTTCTGTACCACAACAGAGCCCCTCTTTCGTATCATAAAAGGCCGTCATTTCGAACACTACCTCACATGACCCTCCCCGCCTTCAAAGAAGATTAGGTAGTTGCCGCAACCCAAACCCTATCCGAAACCCTATCCGCACCCTAAACCTTGAACCAAAAGTTCTACAACATGAAGCATCCACAGAACCCTGAAAGGCTTTCCATGAAGCAACCCTCCCAAGCTTAAAAAAACTACAAAACCGTTCGGAAGCCCTTAATACCCGAAGGCTCGTATGCCCAGGCCCGAAAGCAGCTAAATCTCCAAAAACCCGAATCTGCCCCAAACGCGAGCCCTGGAAGAAAGGAGTACGATAGGGCCCTATAGTAGGGTTCCCTTTTGCAGGGTAGAATAGGGCTCTGTCATGGGGGTTCCTTGTAAAGAAACCCTTACAGGAACTCTGCGAGCAACCTTGAAAGGAGTCCCTTAAAGAAACCTTTGAAGGGAACCCTTTAAAGAACCCTTTAAAGGAACCCTCAGAGGATCACGCCCAAGGAACCCTACTAAAGGACCCTGTAGAGGAACCCTGAAAGGATCACCTCAATGTGGAGCCCTAACAGGAGCCCCTAAGGAACCCGAATGGGATAAACCTTAAACCCTAAACCCTATAAGCCTTAAGCCCTAAACCCTATATCCCCGAAGGAACCGTAATGGGAAGCCCGTGTAAGGAAACCCAGAAAGGCGACGACTAATCCAGGCGTTCACGCAGCTGGCCAGCGGCACGATGATGGGTGACTACTACTTCCCGGATGTGTTGTATCTGGGCCTCAGGGTTTAGGGTTTGGGGTTTAGGGTGTAAGGTTTACTTCTCTTGGGCCTCATGGTGCGCAGGGGAGGTGTTGGGGCTTTGGGATTTGGGTGCCAAGGAGTTGAGTAGAAGAGCGTCGGTGTCAGGGCTTAAAGGTCTTTTGGGTGTAGGGTTCAGGGATTTGGGGCTTAGGGGTTTGGGCTTGGGGTTGTTATAGGGGTTTTCTGGATTGAATTTGGTAAGATGTGGAACTTGTCGAAATTTGGAGAATCCTCAATTTTGGTCCATTGCTTAAGACTGGGTTACGATGATTTGGAGGAGGGGGGGGGGGTAGCGTTGTAGGGTTTGCAGCGCTTCAGTCTCCCTGACTTTCTGAGCCTCCCATACGGCGATCTGCCAATGTTCTTTCCGGGGGTTGGCGAGCTCCGTGTCGTGAGACATGCTGCAGATGTATTCATAGCAAGAAGATGTATGCCATCCTCCCAAATGTAGTTCAGAGTACTTAAGGTGGTGCCAGATGTGTTCCATCAGGCAATACTGTGTAACAGTACATTTTGAATGTGCCCGGTATGGCCTTGTCAATGTACCTCATCATAACTGTCATAACTGGTTTTAGACGCGCTGAAAAGAAGAGCCCAGCTGTACAGTTTGGCTCAGCCCTAAACGTCTGCACCTAGCCAGAAAGGCATATATATATAGATATGTAGCTATATATCATCTACCTATCTGTGTATATATATATATGTATATATATATATAAAAGTTATATACACATCATTTGTACATGTATATATATATATACATATACATATACATATATGTATATGTATGTAGTACATCCCTCCAGGCTTTCGACTGGCAGTCACTTGTCGTCCCTGTATAGTGCTATATAGTTGCTCCAAGCTTTGCTCCATAAAGACATGAACTGAACTGCTGTCGGTTTGCTGCTAGGGTTTGGGGTTTAGTCCCTTCGATTCTTTGCCGTATGTTTGCACGAATGCAAGGCACTCCATGTACACCCTGCTCCTTTATGGCACCTTCCTGGACAACTTGTCGCAGTTTTGTGACGAGGCCGAGGGGGCGAAGATTCGATAAAATCCCTAAATAAACCCTAAACCCAAAACCCCAAACCCTAAACTCCAGTAATTTGGTACTGCTGCTGTTGTTGTTGTTCCGAGTCCAGGAAGGCTAGGGTTTAGAGTTCCGAGGTTTAGGGTTTAGGCTTTAGGCTCTAGGGCTCAGGGTTTAGAGTTTAGGTTTGAGGGCTTTTGGGTTAAGGGTACCAGTCTCAGCCCAGAAACCCCAGGCCAAGCGCTCGCAAACTCGTACACGCTTAATCTCCCAAGGAGCTTGCCGACAAGATGGTTCCAACGAACCCCCAAGGCTTAGGGTTTAGGGTTTAGGGAATAGGGTTTAGTGTAGGGTTTATAGCACCTTTGTAGCATCCCTACAAGGCTCACTAAAGAACCCTAGTAGAACCCGCGTAGCGCCCCTTGAAGAGCCCGTAGCCAACCTTCCAGACCCCCTAAGAGGCCTTATGCCTTATGCAGCCAATGTAGACCCCTTAGTGAGCCCGTTGAAGATATCTTCAAGCCTAAACCCTAAACCCCTCTAAACCCCGAAACCCCTAAACCCCTAAACCCCTAAACCCCTCTAAACCCCTAAACCCCTCTAAACCCCTAAACCCCTAAACCCCCCTAAACCCTAAACCCCTCTAAACCTCTAAACCCCTAAAACCCCAAACCCTAAACCCCTAAACCCTAAACCCTAAACCCCTAAACCCTAAAGCCCTAAACCCTCAACAGTTTCACGTCGTCGGGATCTCGCGAGGCCCGGCGCGCAGGGATTTGGGCGCATGAGAGGAAGACTCATAGTGTCAGGCATCATTAGGGTTTAGGGTTTAGGGCTTAGGCTCCTAAGTAGTTCCTTTTTATGGTTCATATTTAGAATCCTATAAGGTAATCCCAAAAAGGAACTACTAAGGAGCCAAGGGTTTAGGGCGTAGGGTTTCAAGGAATCCACAGGAGGTACCTACAATCTACTCGACCCAAAAATCCCCACCCGTTACGGTACCCATGCACCACCTGGGGACCCTAATATAGTACCCTAAATAGTAGGATCCTTAATAGAAGGACCCCGAAAAGAAGGTACCCCTAATTTTCGGAAAGTCCCACATGGTTTGCTACTGAACTGTGGTAGTGAAGCGTTTGGGTCTCAGCCGCTATCGGGTTTAGGCACATCAGGACTAGACCATCAAGCTGACAAGCAAGGACTCTTGCACCCTAAATGGGTAGCTCTCTAAATTCGGGTTCCTTTATAGGTCCCCAATATGGCTCGGCCCCTTTTTGAACAAAGGAGCCTACAGCACCCTTATAAAAAGGACACTAAAAGAGACCCTGATTTAGAAGATAACCCAAATGTAAATCTCAACTCAAAATCCGAACCGCTGTCCCCCAAATGTAGGGGCCTCAATAATTAATGATTAGAGTAAGGCTTTGGGGTAGTTTTTTCTATACCTATAGTAAGGAATGCCCCCACCACAATAGTATAGTTAATTGTTTAGGCCCCCTATGTTAACCTCGAGCCCTGGCCCTAAACCCTAGACTCCCCATAGATCCTATTTTAGGAGCCCTAAACCCTAAACCCCAAAACCCTAAAACCTACTTGGGTGTACATGGGTAGTTATAAATGGGGTTATAAGTAGGGTAACTATAGTTATAACCCATATTAGGGGACTTGTAACCCCACTTGTAACTCCCCACGAACCTCCAAGTAATGGGGACCCTAAACTAAAGCCTTCAATCCGAAACTCCCGATCTGGGCCTGAAGCCCGGCGCGCGAAAGAGCCCGGGGCGGGGACGACAGGCCTCGAGGCGCATGCTCGGATTCGGGTTCCCTACATGGGTTTCGGGCTTGGGGCTTTAGGAATAATGGGTTTAGGGTCTGGGGTTTGGGGGTTTAGGTGTAAGGGGTTCAGTATGGCCACAGGCACCTTCAGACCTTTCAAGCCCGACGAACATTGGCAAATCTTCAACCACGTTGAACCCTGACTTCGTTGGCTTAACTGCGCGCAGATTGAAGCTTCTGGCTTTGGGACACAGGATATTCGGCTTGCGGTTTTGGGGTCTGACTCCTCACTAAGCACTACACCCTGCCCGAACTCAAGGCATGCTTCGGTTTAACTTTGGTATGTGTGCAGTTTGTGTCTGTGGTTTCAGGTGGGACAAAGCACTTATGGATTCATGATCATTTTGGATGTAGGTCGTCTCTTGGGTTTTCGCAGTGATGCTTCATAGGGCTTCTTGTTTGAGGAATTGGGCTCCAAGTTCTGCAGGATTCTGATATACTATGGAGTGTGTATGTGTGTATATATATATGTATATATTATGTGTAAACATATATATATATATTACATATACATATACATATATATATATATACACATACATATATACCCATAAACATAACACATATATGCATATATACATTTTTCCCCAAACAGCGAAGTATTGGGGTTCTCAATTGCTTCAAAGAAAAGGATAGTGTGACGCGCCTCGCCGGGGACTAGCCGGATTTGTCTCCCTTCATAATCTCAATTTAACCTGTTGTCTCCGCTCTGTCTGAGTCTGGGAGCCGGATGCTGTGACACGCCTTGTCGGGGACTAGCCGGATTTGTCTCCCTTCATAAACTCAATGTAAAGTGTTGTCTCCGATGTTGTCTCGGCTCTGTCTGAGTGAGGGAG